CGGGTTCAAGTGATTCTCATGCCCCAGCTTCCCAAGTAGCTGGGACATGCCACCGCACCCAGCTAATTTTTTGTATTTTTAGTAAAGACAGGGTTTCACCATGTTGGCCAGGATGGTCTCAATTTCTTGACCTCTTGATCTGCCCACCTCAGCCTCCCAAAGTGCTGGGATTACAGGAGCCACTGCACCCAGCCACGCATGTCTTTTTTGAGGCCTTTTCTTGGGATTATCTGACCCAGATCACTCACTTAAGGAGCTGCTTTTACCTAGGCAAGATACACTAGAAGATTTCTCCATAACCCCCCATGTTCATGGACTTAAATTCTGCTGCCTGATCCCAAGAGCCCTTGCCTTAATTCTTAGTCTCTTGACCACCATTACTATTAACCTTGCTATGTGCCCCAAGCCACATCCAATTTGGCCCTCACTTCCATATTTTCATTATAAGCTTTTCTCCTGGACCCAAGGATGCTGAATATGGCTCTCAGCTTACATCCCTCTTGAATTTATGGGGCAGCCCTCAGTCTGTTGCACTCAAATAATGGGTCTAAGAGAAGAAAGATCAAGTGGAGCCAGATTGAGGCTCAGAGCAAAAGGGAAATAAAGGAATCTGCTGCTAATAAATGCCTCTGGACTATAATTGAAGAGCTTTCTGCTTTGTTCACATTTGAGCTCACTGGGGTGGAAGAACATGTAGAGATTCTGGGCAGAAGTCCTTTTAGGAAAAAGGCATTTTCCGCTGGGCGCAGTGGTTGATGCCTGTAATCCCAGCACTTTGGGAGGCCAAGGCAGGCAGATCATGAGGTCAGGAGATGGAGACCGTCCTGGCCAACATGGGGAAACCCCATCTCTAATAAAATACAAAAAATTAGCCAGGCGTAGTGGTGGGTGCCTGTAGTTCCAGCTACTCAGGAGACTGAGGCAGGGGAATCACTTGGACCTGGGAGGCAGAGGTTGCAGTGAGCCGAGATCATGCCTCTGTACTCCAGCCTGGTGACAGAGCAAGACTCTGTGAAGAAAGAAAAGAAAAAAAGAAAAGAAAAGAAAGAGGGAAGCAAGGAGGGAGGAAGGTAGGGAAGGAAGGAAGG